AAAAAAAAAAGATAATGGGAAAAAAACAAAATGGAATTTCTCCATGAATTTTTTTGAAGTCCCCTCGTGTAAGAGGCTAGGATATAGTGTGTTTGAGGAGGCGACTGTTACTTTTTGATAGCTGTTGTCCTTGCTTCTTCTCAGTTTCTGAAATGTTTTAAAGAACAGAAACCTACTACTTTCTATGTACAACCTCAAAGAGATAATAGCAGCAGTTTTCTATTGTTGTTAAGTGCATCAAGTTGGTTCAGACTCTTAGTGACCCTGTATAGGGTTTCCAAGGAGCAGCTGATGGGTTTGTACTGTCAACCCTGTGGTGAGCAGTGCAATACGCAACAGCAGGATCTGAGAAAGTTGCTAAATGTCTCCCCCTACAACCACAAAGAGCTTGAAAATGACACATATACAAAATTACTTGGAATTTATTTTTTCTTCAAGATATTTAAACAAATCTAGTATTCTTGAGGTAATCTGGGTCTAGCTATTAGATGAAAGGTGGCTTCATCTCTCTGAATAGAGGCTTTTAAGGACCACTAATGAGTCTGGAAGAACTGGCAAGATCCTTCCCAATTTATCCAGAATAGCTTACTGTATTCCCTTCCAGTTCCATAATTTAGGGTATGGTTATAATATAAAAGACTTACACGATATCTTTCTCCAATATTCTTCCCAATCCATTTGTGTGGAATAACTCTAGTTCCTGAATGCTCAGTATTAAAGTTTCAAAGAATAGCAGAGGTGCTGGTAGCACAAGCAAGGGTAGACTCTGATGGGCCTGGCCCTCTGCTATAGAATCTCTTCTGTGAGCATAATAATGGTGTCTGGGTGTCTGCATCACGTCGAGCCTCTTGCTTTAGATGGTGGAACTTGTGCTGTGTCCAGCCATACACTCCACAGTTGAGCAGGCCCTGGGATGCTGCTGTTAGAGCCTGAAGAAGATGAAGGAGTGATGGAGCTCATTCTTCAAGTATTCAGAGACCCAAGGAACAGTCCCGATTCCCTTTACTTACAAAGCATCATTGTATTTCCTCTATCCCAGAATTCAGATCAATCATCTATTTTTTATATATATTTCTAGATTTTCCTGAACTCACTCTTTACATTCTTTCTTGTCATGGATGACTGAGAGTTGGTCACCCCTCTCTTATCGACACGTTAGGGTTCCAAAGACCAGATCGTTATGTGGAAATGGAGTATAGCCACATGGGTCACAAAATGGAAGATGACTACATCATTATAAAACTGCCAGATTACATCATCACATAACTGCCAAATCACTGAGAATCATGGCCCAGCTAAGCTGATACACGGCTGTAACAGTCACAGCCAGTGTTATTCTCTTCTCCCCTTGAACCTTGGCATTCATTAGTGTCAGGCATGAGCTGTTAATGTGCAAAATAGAGAGTAGATTTTTCACTACTGTAATAAATGTGAGATGTTGGATAACAAGATAATCAATAAATGAGGAGTGGGTGTATATATATACACCATAAAATGGCCTCCATACTCCCTCCTCACTACTCCATATCCCAGGTCAAGTTTGAGAAAACTGTCCTGTGAGTCTTAACTCTGATAAAGGAAGAAAAGAGAAAAACATTCCATTTCCCCTATTCTGTAGCTAACTTATCCCATTCATTTCACAATGGATAAGAATGAATCCTGTCATTATTGGTAATTAAAAAAAAAAAAGAAGCCCTAGCAGGTCCTTACTTTTTGCTGCCAATCCTTTAGAAATATATCAATGAAATGAAGCTGACCAGATATAAGCTGTGGAATGTATGGCAGCACTCTAATAACAGCATCTATTTTTTCATCTGAAAGGAAAATTTCACATTTTTTCATAACAATGTAAACAATAAATTTTCTGTTTTGCAATGCAGAAATCTAATTGTACATACTGACTGAAAGAAGTATACGAGATAAGTAGATACAAATCCTACATGTTGAAGATGTTACCTGGAAAACATAGAGAACCATGTGAAGCTTGGTATCTTGTGGTCTGGTCACCTTTATAATCACCAGAATGACAGCTGTGAACACAAAAGCATAAATCTTGCTGTCAGTCCAAAACATACCATTTCTTAGTATACATGCCTAAGCATTACTGTGGAATGACACAGAACGAAAGCCATGAAGGGGCTTCAAAAAGTTCATGGAAAAATTCCATTATCTTTTTAAAAAAACTTTTTATTATGAAATGGGTGAAAGTTTACAGAGCATATCTGCTTTCCATTCAACAATTCATACACATTTTGTTTCATCTCATTGATTGCAATCTCTACAATTAACATCACTTATCCCACTTCCTCCTTTGTGTTACCTGTTGCCACTCCTCCTTTTGTCCTAAACCAGATTCTGAATGCTGTCCTTGGGTAAATACTACACTTTTGATTTCAAATGGTTGATTACTCTAACATGTGCATACTTTCCATATGTTATTATTCCCTTTGTAGATCTGTCCATGGGAAATTGTTGTGGTGCTATTGGATAAGCACTAGACTGCTAACCACAAGGTCGGCAGTTCAAACCCATCAGCTGCTCCTCAGAAACCCTATACAGGGTTGCTATGAGTCAGAGTTGACTTGACAGCACTTAACAACAATAATAATAGACCTGTCTATTGTATGTATGAAATTGAGCAATGGGGATGAGTTCATTTCCAGATCTGAAAGGGGACTAAGGGGGATAGACTCAGAAATTCTACCAATGTCTATCCCACTGGTAAACCTGGTCTTTTTTATGATTTTGAGTTTTGTTCCACATTTTTCTCCAGGACTCACAGGGACCCTGTATAGGACCGTCTAATGTGATCTCCTTAATAGGTGGCAGCTGGGCACCATGTAATTCTTCTAGTCTCAGGGGTACGGAGACTGATGTTCTCATGGTTTATTATCTTTTAATTCCATTTTTCTATGAACTTTTTGAAACCCCCTCTTTTATGCATTATGAAGACCAGCAAACTACAGGACATTGGACTGCAATTTTTTTTCCCTTATTGATTAAACTTTGAAGATTATTAGTGTAGTAAAGGAGCTCTGGTAGTGTAGTGGTTACGAATCAGGCTGCTAATCTCATGGTAAGCAGTTTGATACTACCAGCTGTTCCGTGGGAGAAAGATGAGGCTTTCTGCTCCCGTAAAGAATTACAGCCTTGGAAACCCTGTACAGGGTTGCTATGAGTCAGAACGGACTCCACGGCACATAACAACAACAACAACAATGGTGGAAAGACACATTATGGAAAGTTAATACTTTATACTACTTAGCATTTTAGAGTTTAACAAACTCTTTAATAAACATTAAATAATCTGATCCTCACTACAACCTAATGTACTAGAAGGGCAGGCATTAATATCTCTGCCTGTTTTGTCAGAATGCTTTTCTTCTCATATATCATGTTATATCTTCTGTCTAAATTACCCTGATCTAGTGAAAAAAGAAAAGAAAAAAAAAAAGAAATAGAAAATATCGGTGAGGTCAAAGTGAAGTTTACAAACTAGACAGGCACTTGTAATAATTTTTCTTTGTACTTCTATTTTGCCTTGCCAGAACCCAATAGTTGCCCACTTCTCTGCCCAGCTCTTCCCCCTTTAGATACCCACCTGGTCCCCAGCAGCAAAAGAAAGCCACTGGGTAGAAACGCACTCGCTGCTCCATAACGTGAATCACTGCCCATTGTTCACTTCCCAGTAAGCCAGTTGATTTTATGAACCTCTTATACAGTATCTGTGCTCGAATGAGTACGACCTAGGTGTAGCAGAAAGAGTTTGCCTCAGGCTTGATAAAACTTCCAAGCACCTTGTCCCTATCTATCACTTTAGAGAGATTATTCTCTTAGACTCTCACAGCAGAAAAGAATCATTCTCTTGTCTTCACCATCAGAGATCAGGCTTTGGTTGAAAGAAAATTATATTCAGAGAGAACTTTTAGTTGGCCAGGAAAATAGACAGATATATATTATTTGTCATATGTTCAATACTTGAACCTTACATCAACCCTCAGGCTTCCCCTCTACTGTGAATTCCTTCATGCCCATTCTTGTTGTTTTTGTTATGTACCACTGAGTCAATTCTGACTCAAATAGACCCTATGTAGGGTTTCAGAGATGTGGCTACCAGACATGTGCTTATCCTACAGCACCACAATAGGACTCACTTCCAGCCTACAGGTAAAAATTACAATATGCAAACCAAACCCAAACCCACTTTAAAAAAAAAAAAGAAAACTAATATATAATACGATCCTCTTTTAAGATATTTTATTAGAATTTGTGTTTTAAAATGTTCTATATCAACACCAAACAATAAATACTTTAGTACCATTGTTGTTGTTTTTAAGTGCTGTGAAGTCATTTCCAACTCATAGTGACCTTGTATAAGGTTTCCGAGGAACAGCTGGTGGGTTTGAACCGCTGATCTTGTGGTTCAAACCGACTTTGAGGTTCAGTGTTAATTCTCAGCTATGCGTGAAAAAAGAAGTTTAAAAAAGTCTCTTCTTGCCCTTAGGTGGTGAATACATTGTTTTTCTCTTCCATGCAGACGCTATCTGAATAAAATTTCACTAATGAAAGAAATATAAATCTCTTCAGAAGCCCAATAACTTTTACGCGTGGGTAATAATCTCCATAACAAATGTGACCAAATCTGAATCTTTCCCCTAATAATCCAGATTTGCTCTTTAAATAATAATCTAGTGACATAGTTAATTAAGCTCAGCCATGTAGTTTCCTTTCCCCACAGACATAAGAATCAAAAGGAGACTTGATCTCATTTAAAAATAGTTATGTCTGGTAGAATCAGTTTGCCAACTATTGATTTAAAAATAATTTAGATTCCTATTTCTGAAAGTGGACTCTTCTGATGCAAACAGGAATCTCATGGTACCAGGCTTTGGGATATCCCATCTCTCTTTTGTTGATTAGCTCCAAATATAAGCCATTTAAAATAAATCAGTTATTGTGCTCTCTTTATAAAGCTACTGACTGAGCTGAGCTAATGTCATACTCTGGAGTTCTGGTGTGGCGCTGTGGGTTAATGCGCCAGACTGCAAAACTGTTTGAACTGCAAGGTTGGCAGTTCAACCTCACCAGCTGCTCCTCGGAAACCCTACACAGGGTCGCTATGGGTTGGAACAGACTCAACGGCACTTAACAACAACAACAACAATGTCATACTCTGGTATGGTGCTTAGGATAACTATTGAACTACAAGGCTGGGGATTTAAACCCATCAACCACTTCTGGGAAAGCCGATACAGCATCACTATGTCAGTTTGCCGTACTTTGGTAGCATGTGTATTGCAGTGATCCTGAAGCGATGCAACTGGATGGCATATACTAGCAGGTTCACTCATGGTGGACAGGTTTCAGCAGAGCTTATAGACTAAGACAATTTATGAAGAGGGAGAGGTAGACTACTACCAAATGAAAATCTTACAAAATGCAGAAGAACATTGTCAGACATAGTGCCAGAACACAATCCCCTCAGGTTGGAAGGTGCTCAAAACACAAATGGGGAAGACAGTTGACCTTAACGACATAGATGAAGTTAAGCTTCATTTGCTGATGTGGCTCAACTCAGAATGAGAAGAAGTAGCTGCAAAAATCCATCAACAATCTGGAGTGTAGATATGAATCTAGGAAAATTGGAAGTTGTAAAAATGAAATGTAACACATACAAATTCATATTTTAGGCATGGTATTGGTATGGACTGGTATTGGCCATTTTGAATAGGACGATCATATGGTTTACTATGCTAGGAACAACAAATTGAAGAGGGATGGTATTTGCATTTATTATCAAAAAGAATATCTCAAGATTTATTTTGAAGCACAATGTTGTCTATGATAGGATAATTTCCATATGCCTACAAGGAAGAGGAGTTAATACCACTATTATTCAAATTTATGCACTAACCATTAAAGCCAGTAATGATGAAATTGAAGAATTCTACCAACTTCTTCAGTCTGAAATTGATCAGATCAAACATGCAATCAAAGTGTAGTGATAATTACTGGTTATTGGAAATGCTAAAGTTGTTAACAAAGAGGAAGAATCAGTAGTTGGAAAATACAGTTTTGGTGATAGACACAATGCTAGAGATTGCATGAAGAAACTTTACAAGACATTCTTGAAAATACCTTTTTTAAACAACATAAAAGACAAGTATACACATGGACCTCACCAGATGGAATACACAGGAATCAAATTGACCATATCTGTGGGTAAATGATGGAGAAGCTCAATACCAGTCAGCTAAAATAAGACTAAGGGTCAACTCTGCAACAGATTATCAATTTCTCATATGCAAGTTCAGGATGAAGCTAAAGAAACTTAAAATAAGCCCATGCTAGCCAAAATATGACCTTGAACATATCCCACCTGAATTTAAAGGCCATCTCAAGAACAGATATTGATGCATTAGATATGAGTGATTGAAGATCAGAAGAGTGTGGGGTGACATCAAGAACATCATACATGAAAAAAGCAAAAGGTCATTAAAAGACAGGAAACAAAGAAAAGACTAAGTGGATATCAGAAGAGACTCTGAAATTTGCTCTGGAGCTAATGCTACTAGAAGAAATAATGAAATAAAAGTGCTAAACAGAAAATTTCAGAGGGGCAGCAGCTCAAGAATACAAAGTCAAATATAATGAAATGTGCAAAGACCTGGAGTTAGAAAACTAAAAGGGAAGAACATACTCAGCATTTCTCAGGCTTGAAGAATAAAAAAAATCAAGTCCTGGGTTGCAATATTAAAGGATTCTATGGACAAAATATTGAATGATGCTGGAACTATCAAAAGAAGATGGAAGGAATACACAGAGTCACTGTACGCTAGTTAATATTCAATTGGTTAATGTCCTATCATTTAAAGAAGTACCATATAATCAAGAACTGATGGTGTTGAAGGAAGATGTCCAAGCAGCACTGAAGACATTAGAGAAAAATAAAACTGACGGAATGCAAATTGAATGTTTCAACAAAACAGATGCAGCGCTGCAGGAGTTCACTCATCTATGTTAAGAAATGTGGAAGCGTTATCTGCCCAATCTATTATGGGAAGATATCCATATCTCTGTGCATTCCAAAGAAAGGTGACTCAACAGAATGTGGAAACCATCCAACAATATCATTAATATCACATGCAACTAAAATTTTGCTGAAGACAATTCAAAAACAGTTGCAGGACTACATCAACAGGGAGCTGCCAGAAATTCAAGCCAGATTCAAAAAAGAATGTGGAATGAGGGATATTACTGCTGATGTCAGATGGATCTTAGCTGAAAGCAGGGAAAACCTAAAGATGTCTTGTTGTTGTTGTTAAGTGCCGTCGAGTCGGTTCCGACCCATAGCAACCCTGTATAGGGTTTCCGAGGGTGTAAATCTTTACGGGAGTAGAAAGCCTCATCTTTCTCCCACGGAGTGGCTGGTAGTTTCGAACCGCTGACCTTAAGGTTTGCAGCTTAATTTATAACCACTATGCTACCAGAGCTCCTGTCTATGTGTACTTTATTGACTATGCAAAGGCATTAGACTATGTGGACCATAACAAACTATGGCTAACATAACGAAGAATGGATATTCCAGAACACTGAATTGTGCTCATGAGGAACCAGTATATAGACCAAGAGGCAGTTGTTTGAACAGAACTAGGGGATAACGAATGGTTTAAAATCAGAAAAGGTGTGTGTCAGGGTTGTATCATTTCACCATACTTACTCAATTTGTATATTGAGCAAATAGTCCGAGAAGCTGGAGTATATCAAGAAGAATGTGGTATCAGGATTAGAAGAATCATTAACAACCTGTGATTACACAAATTACACACACAAACTTGCTTGCTTAAAGTGAAGAGGACTTAAAATACTTAACTGATGAAAGTCAGACTACAGCCTTCAATATGAATTGCAACTCAATCTCACAATTTAACCAATAAAAAGCATCATGATAAATGGAGAAATGACTGAAGTTGTTGACTACTTCAATTTGTTTGGATACACAATCAATATTCATGTAAGCAGCAATTAAGAAATCAAATGAGGCTGCTCCCCTTCTTTGCGTTCCTGACCCACCTTGCCCTGCTGTGCCACTGGCAGGATGGCCCACAAGCAGATCTACTTCTCCGACAAACACTTCGACGAGCACTATGAGTATCGGCATGTCATGTTACCCAGAGAGCTTTCCAAACAAGTACCCAAAACCCATCCAATGTCTAAAGATGAGTGGAGGAGACTAGGTGTTCAACAAAGTCTAGGTTGGGTGTACTACATGATTCATGAGCCAGAACCGCATATTCTTCTCTTTAGACGACCTCTTCCAAACGATCAACAAAAATGAAGCGTATCTGAGGATCACCAATGGAATAGTTTTCAAATTTAATGTATATGTGTATATAAGGTAGTATTCAGTGAATACTTGAAAAATGTACAAATAATTCATCCATACCTGTGCATGAGCTGTATTCTTCACAGCAACAGAGCTCAGTTAAATGCAACTACAAGTAGATTGCTTTAAGGTGTTTAAACTTTTCTTCTAGTCAGTTTTTCTCTTAAATGTAAGTGCCTCTTGAACTTTACCTGTTACTTTTGTTTAATAACGTTTTTATGTTGCATTTTGAAAAAAAAAAAAAGAAATCAAATGATATATTACATCAAGCAGACATGCTACAAAAGACCCTTTAAAGTGTTGAAGAGCAAAGGTTTCAGTTTATGGACTAAGATGCACCTGACCCAAGTCATGGTATTTTGAGTAGCTAAATGCTATTGAGTATGTTCTGACTCACAGTGACCCTGCATAGGGTTTCTAAGGAGTGGCTGGTGAGCTTGAACTACTTACTGACTTTGCGGTTCAAACCGACCTTATGGGTGAGTGCTTATCCTACAGTGTCACACCAGGATTCCAATAGCCTCATATGCAAGTGAAAATTGGACAGTGAATAAGGAAGACAGTAGAAGAATCAGTGTATGTGAATTATGGTGAAGAATATTCAAAGTACTATGGACTGCCAGAAGAACAATCAAATCTGTCTTGAAAGAACTAAAACCAGAATGTTCCTTAGAAGTCAAGAAGGCAGGACTTTGTCTCTCATGCTTCAGATATGTTATCAGGAGGGACCTGGAGAAGGACATCATACTTGTGAAAATGGAGACCCAGTGAAAAAGAGCAAGATCCCCAATCAGATGGATTGACATAGTGACAGCAACAATGGGCTCAAACATAACAATTGTGGGGATGGTGTAGGACTGGGCAGCATTTCATTCTGTTGCGCATAGGGTCACTATAAGTCAGAACTGACTTGACAGCACCTAACAACAACAACGACCTGTATCATTATTTGGAAAATTAAATCAAGGCACATGTCCTATATCCCAGTGTTACCACTGTGTATAAAGGCTGTACATGACATTTACTAATTGTCTGGCCTGGTCCTTTTTGGTGATCCACAGTAGCATGTATGAGTTCTAGAGTGAGCTTAATTCTCATATAATGAGCACAGGTTCTTCCTCTTACTTACTCTGAATTTGGGAAGTCAAAAAGATTGAGGTAGTAATTACATTGTCAAAATATGCTAGCCAATTCTTAGTTCTAGGACCCTAGGAAATCTATTTCTGGCCTATCCTTCCAAGTTATTCCAAGCTCTAGCAAAACTACTTCCCTCTTTCTCCCCTTTGCCAAGGTAGATAGGGTGACATCATACCACAATGGTAAGGAGGCTTAGTAGAAAGCTGACCAGGAAAATGGTGATCCCATAAAAATAAAGTATATTACACACAGATGTGTTGGGAGAAGGCAGGAGTTCAGCCATGGCTGATGGTGGTGAAAGCATCAGGATACACCTAGGAAGAGAATAAACGGACAGGAGTACAGCAACAGCTTTAAAACTAGAGAGATACCAATTCAGTGCAACAAAAGGTAATGAGTACGCCCTTTTACCTACCATTTTGCAAACCTTTGCCTATAACTTCTTGTTCCTTCCCACAGTCACATTATCCTCTAGTCATTTTGTGTTATATTTCTTCTTATGTGTTTTCAACCATGACAATACCTTACTCAACTGCTCATTTCAATACAAACACCTTGGTCAGAATGAATACAGAAAGTCTTTTCCAACTCTGTAAACAAGAATAGGTGTAGTCTACAAGGAAAAGGATGGATTTGGCCCTTACTTACCTGTGATTCTGGCTGAAGTTACGGAAACATTCACTGGTATTGCCCAGACAGAAAACAGGTATCATCAATAAGAGAGGTATCAGGCTGGGGAGGAAAAACAACCAAACTTGTCACCCTAACATCCAGACTTTTTCATGCCTTCATTTTTAGCAGGATATCAATTTCTGAAAATACACATACATTTAATTTCCTCATAAAAAGGATTACAAATTCCAGTTGTGGGGAAGTGAAATTAGAATGCATTTTATAGCAAGCTTAATGAACCCTAAACAGTTTCCTACATTGTTTCTGGAAGTTGTGTAGTCAGATCAAAATCCAAGTGGGTTAAAGTGAAAGAAAAATCTACTACTAAGGAGTTCTGTGCTCAGTTTGTTTCACTTTCTATGATGAGCTTCATTCTCATCAACCTCTTTCTAAGATGTTTTCCAAAGTATAACTTTATACAGCTAGCTATTAATCTAGCTAAATATAGCAGTTTCCTATAAGAGGAGAAGATGCATATATAACAGTTATAAATTCTAAAACCAACTCTGATTTAATGTGCCCAATACTCTAGGTGTAATCCAGTCCCTTTTTGGGCATATAACTGTAAGGGACTCAATGTTATAAAGATGGATGTGATCATAAAAGCCATCTTTTATAGCTACCTAGCTTTTCATGATTTGGAAAAGGATTTAAAGCTCTAAAGACTTAAAGAGATGTTTTAAGGTCACATAGAGTTGATGGCAAAATTGGGGCTAAAATACAAGTATGAAACATCAAACTTCATCCCTATCCCAGCTGGGAAAATGGGACCAATGGCCACATATTTGTTGCCTCTTATTCAAGAAGACCCTCCGTCTAGTAAGACATAGTTGTGATAGACATTTTCCCCAGCTGTACACCAGAATAATAAAAGTTTACATCTTGCGAGGAAGGAAACACAAAGGCTTACCTTGACATAATGATGGCCATCTGACCAACTTGACAAGTATAATCTATCACCTATGAAAAGCAAAAATGTGAGTAATGCCTCAAGACACTGCCAATTACATTACAATAAATAGCAAGTTACTACTCACAACTCGGTAAAAAGAATGTAAGAGTAGACTTGCTTTATTCAAACATTGTTTGCTATAAAGTTCAATGAAATAGTTCCTTAGCACTGGAAATAGCAGAATTTTATCTGTAAATGAAACACTTTAAATAAAACCACACCAAGAATAAAAGAGACACAGAAAGGCTACAAGGAGTTGCTTAATTCAAGATTTGAATGCCAGAGCAAACTATCTTAAGTAACGCAAATAAAAAATCATACAGTAACCCTCCATCCATGGTTCAGTCCTCTGTTCTTTCAGAGAGAGAGGTGTGGATTTTCTCAATCATAGGTGGAATGAAAGTCTGTTTATAAGATGACACACAGAAAGTTTAATAGGTCAGGATTAGTATAATAGGTCAACGTCAAGAAAGATTTTTGGATTAAGACCTGTTAGACTCTAGGAGAAAGAAGAGCATTTCAAAATTTTGCTTGTGTTAACCATTGTAAAATAACTTAGGGAAAAGATAGTTCCTAATTACTAGGAGTTTATGATGAAAGATTTGAACAGAACACCTTAAAGATAAAACAGAATTGAAAAAATTTTTTAATTTGTTTTTTTTTTAAAGTAGTTCCATATTCAGGAGTCCTGGTGTGGTGCTGTAGAACAATGCAGTAGACTGCAGGGTCGATTTGAACTGCAAGGTCGGAAGTTGAAACTTACCAGACACTCCTCAGAAACCCTTTACAGGGTTGCAAGGAGTCCGAACTGATTCGATGGCACTTAACAACACCAACAAAAATATATTCTGAAATGACACTGTGAGGGATCAATAAGCATTAAAGGAGTAATTAACCAATAATCATAGATTGATAATTGATCTGTCCTGACTAGTTTACATCAGGAATGTTGTTGTTGTTGTTAGGTGCCATTGAGTTGATAGTGACCCTATGCACAACAGAACAACACAATGCCCAGTTCTGGGCCAACCTCATAATCGATGCTACGTTTGAGCCTACTGAGGCTGCCATTGTGCCACTCCATCTCATTGGGGGTCTTCCTCTTTTTCTCCGACCCTCCACTTTACCAAACATGATATTCTTCTCCAATGACTGGTCCCTCCTGACAAAGTGTCTGAAGTATGAGAGATGAAGTCTGGCCATTCTGGCCTCCAAGGAGCACTCTGACACAGATCATTTTGTTCTTTTGGCAGCCCATGGTACTTTCAATATTCTCCAACACCATTAACTCAAATTCATTAATTCTTCTATGGTCTTTCTTATTCACTATCAGACTTTTACATACATATGATGTTATTGAAAATATCATGACTTGGGTCAGGTGCACTTTAGTACTCAAACTGACATCTTTGCTCTTCAACACTTTAAAGAGGTCTTGTGCAGCAGATTTGCCCAATGCAATATATCTTTTTTGTTTATTTGTTTGAAAATTTTATTGTGGAGAAATGGGTATAACAAAGTTTGTCAGTTTAACTTTTAATGATAAAAGGTAGGTAGAATTAGATGAATCAAAGGTAAACAGGACAACCCCCTTCCAAGACTAAGACTCAGTGGGAATACATGAGTACACATGCACTCTGACAGGTGACCATGTTTGTCACTGATAAAGGGAAGTAAGGGAAAAATAGCAATGAAGCAGCAAGCTAAGCCCTACAACTTTTAATAGAC